TATGTAAAATACACATTACAAATAACAAATATTATTATTACTACCATTTTATTTGATAATTTTTTTCCCAGTCCAATGCTTCAAGAACATTTGGAACACCAACAAACTTATGCATGTTCCACTGTGCAATATAATCATAAAGGGTTGCCAAATTGTGCTAAGCAGAAGCTAACCAGACCTGGTGAGCTTGTCCAGGCTCAAACCGGAATACTAGTTTCACTAAATAGCACTGCAAACAAGATGCGGCCTTTCTTTCCACATTTTCCACAAACATTTCTCCTGGGAAGCCCTTGTGCACCATACAGCAAAAAGTCACAGGAAGAGAGGTCAATATTGTCAAGCCCTAAGTGTCAGATGTTTACACCAGCAACATGAAGGGAGTTGATTGAGCTGATCAACTTCGTTCATATTATTATATCAGGTGGCAGTCTAAAAAGTGGTTCAAGTGTATATTTTGGTTGTCATTTAATTTAGCTGTCTGAAATGCCTATGTCTTAGAGTCCAAAAGCCACACAAAACTCCCACAAGATGCCTTCAGCTTCGAATTAGGCAAGCAACTCATCAGAAATTTCATCTTATAAAGGCAACCTGCAAACAGTGCTCCACCACTTGTTCTTGCTCCAGAGGACCACACAAGCACAAAATCAACAGCCACAAGAAGCAGTGTGTTGACTGCAAAGCAAAAGGCAAGATAATGGCCAAGGGTTACCCAGTTGAGATGAAGTTCAAGTGCATTAAGTGTGGAGTTGCACTTTGTCAAGATCCATGCTTTAGGGATTATCATGTGAACATGTAAATGTTACTCACCCACATCTTTTGTGGCATTTTTAATGATCACAATGATCAGTTTGTGCTAACAGAACTTTAAGTTACCCTCATATATATTATTGCTAACTATTTTCAAAGTATTTCCCTGTGTATATTGAGCTCACCAGGATAATTTGCATTTTAATATAAGATGCTTTAAAGTAACAAAACATGCGCAATGGCGGAAAATTTTAATTTTAGCAAAGACACATTTTCACTAAAACTTAACTTCTTTCCTTGGTATGACTTTGAATTTAACTACAGCTACACTTTAGTATTAATTTTGTGAAATTAGCAGACTCTATAAAACGTTCATAACCCACTGAGCATATGTTTTGATTTCCACTCACTTATTGTGAACAACTCTCCAATTACCTCTAAGAACAACAGAGAAATGAGCCAGAGGGCAAGTGGTATACAAAGGGTTAAATCAAAACGAGACATCTTGAGGATTTGGATGCTTTCAAGAAGAGAAAAAATGAACCTACTTCTATGATGAATAAAGCAATATGCGAGTTTTACATGCGATTCATGGTAGAAAACAGCAAGGATCAAGGAAAGCTCTTTAGGGCAGTAAAGAAACTTCTTAAAACAGAGAATAAACTGTCATTCCTTGATCATGTGGATAAAAACAAACTCACAAATGAAATTGCTGAGTTTTTTGTGACAAAGGTTGATGAAATTCCTAGATGCAATGGAAATACATGTGAATGAGACACATGGTAACATTTCATTGGGCTTTGAGCAAAGGCCAGAGTCATTTCATCCTTTAACCAAAGGTGATGTTTGTGCTTTAATCCAAAAGTCCGCAAAAAAGTCATGCATGCTGGATCCTATGCCCACTTCATTAGTCATTGAATGTTTAGATGTTTTTCTTTCGGTAATCACTAACAATGATTACCAAAAAGAAAAAACCATAGCACAGAGATGTTGCTTGTTAAAGTGTCTAATGATATCTGCATCAACATCAATCATTAAAATGTGACACTGCTGGTACTTCTTGATTTGAGTGCTGCATTTGACACTGTAGACCATGAAATTTTGTTGAACCTGCTTTAATCAATGTTGGGCATCACTGGTAGTACCCTTATGTGGCTAAATTCATATCTGTCTGAGCATTCTTCACTTGTGTTTGTTGATGGAGGGCTCTCTGATAGCATTCACTTACCCTTCAGAGTCCCACAAGGTAGTGTCTGAGGCTGCTATTGTTCATCACATATGCTAGGAAGCTATTTGAAGTGATCAAAGATCATGTGCCATCAGTGCATGCATATGCTGATGATACTCAACTGTGTCTATGTTTTAAACCTGATGGTTTTTTAAACAAAATAAGGTGCTATGAAAACAATGGAGATATGTATTAACCACATCGGGATTGAATAAAACTGAATTTGTGGTTATTGGAACACAACATCAGCTAGGTAAATTGAGTATTGGTTAATTGTCAGTTGGTTTGAATTGTAAGCTAAGTATTGGTAAGCATGTGTTGGCTTCCTTTATACGCTGGTGGTAAGGCATCAATCTGGTTCTCTTGCACCTGCAGTGTCGAGAAGGGTGAGTTTGCTGTAGTTTACTGTCTCCATAGTGAAGCAAATGGAAGGCTGTTGGTAGTTTAAATGCTGTAGGAAGCTTTCTATATTATCATGTGCTATCGGGTGTCACCTATGTAATGTTTCAGATCCTAGGTTTTTTACTGATGATGTTATGGCTTGTTCTTTAAAACTCTCCATTTAGAGGTTAGCAACAACAGCACAAAGGGGACTCCCCATTGCTGCTCCTTCTGTCTTTTCATAGTTGATCCTTTGTCTTGGAAGTATGTAGATCTCCATTCAAAGTTCAGGGGGTCAGCGATTAGACTACGTGTTTTTGTCATGCAGATGGATAGGCTTGGATCATTCTCCAGTTTCTGCCAAGCAGACTTGTAGAGCTGTGTCAGCCAGAGTATTTGTAAACAACAATTCTAAATCAAAGGACTCAGTGATCTCGCTTTCTTGAATCATTTTGCCACTTAAGGTAGAAAAAATTGGGCAGAGCTGAACACCATAAAATCCAAGTCACCGGTTAGGGAACACAAGATGTTAGCTAAATAAGCTGACACATCATTGGCAAAGATGTTCATACATGAGAGCTTTGGTCTCGGAGGTATATTGGCTTTATGAATCTTTGATAAACCCTAGATTCTAGGAGACTGTTTATGTCATGGTTTGGTCTTGTTGTAGGTAGCCTCTGACAAATATCCACTTCGTTACAAGGTTAGCAGTTTCTTAGATAACCTCCTGGTCAGATGGTTTATTGGTTCTTTGTTCAAGCCCTGATATGGTCCACTTCAAATCAGGGAGGACATCTTGGTTTGCCAGGTGTTGGGGTCTAATCTTACACTAGCACATTCTTTGTCTGATGGTAGAACCTCATCGGACTGCTCCTCTTTCAGAGGTCTAAGTGTGTCCTGCATTTCCTTCGCAAAGGTGGTTTTGCCAGTTGAAGGACCCCCTTCACAGATCTTCTGATGGAGTCTGCTTGTTTGGGATAGAGTGGTCTGGACACTGATTCCACCTTTTCAATAATCTATAAGGCAGGTATATTGTCAGGATACAGTGAAATTTTTGGCCTTCTTCAGTAAGGAAGTCTCAGCGCTGCTATGGAACCGAGAAAATAGATTAACAACTCAGTTGGTTTCATAAACATAGTGTTAGTTTGTGACAAAGCCGCCTCTTTCTACTGCAAAAGTTTCCCAAACTTTTGCTGTTGCCCTTCTTTGGCAGTGTTGAAGACTCACTGGCTGGTCTTGATCTGATCTAGGATCCTGTTAGCATCAAGTGGGGAGAGCTTAGATGATATCTTTTCAGCCATTGACTAAGTCTCTCCTATTAGGAAACGCAAATATAAATAGAAAACATCAACGAGAAATGCAAAGCATGTGAAGGACTGAAGTGTGGGAATTTTTGCCATTGAAGCCCTGTTAAGTGTTGTGCAATAATTGTAAGCTTCTTGGCAAGGCACAGAAACAAAATTGTGTGCGAGAATTTGTGGAAGACTGCATGTTAATTGCATGGGTTGAAATATGTGCCAAATTGTCCAGTCAGTCAGTAAGTCACTCAAGTTTATCTGTGATTTGTGACTGAAAAATCTAGTAGTTTGAATAAACCCTTGAGTGGTAAAGTTTGTTGTCTAGTCTTTCCTTTCACATAAAACCACATAGTAGCAGCAATGACAACAAAGAAATGTAATTTTGATTGCAGTCACCCCTACACAACAAGCATTGCAGTCTATGAGGTTTCACAAAGTTTTGCCTATGCAGTATTTAGAATTAAGTCAAGTGGAGAGATTGCAGAGAATTAGAAGTTGTAGAGAGAGATGAACAATAATTGTCATTTTGCAATTGGAGAAGGGAAAGCCTCAGTATCAGCTTGCCATGTTAAAGCATGCTTCAGCCCATTTCCCAGGAACGTTTTGCACAAATTGCCTTGATTTGACAAACGTTTTGAAAGAAAAAGACAGCAATTTAGCTAGTTTTGTAGGAAAATGATGGATGTATGTTGCTCATGCAAGATATTTGTTAATTGGCAACTTTCTTGTGTGGTCCATTACAATTTTGCATGTAGAGCTGGACAGACAGCTATCGTCTTCTTGGATAAATCTGCAAACAATCGCTTGTAGTTGTTTTCAGAGAAGTGTGGACATCTCTAAAAAATTTTTCCATAATTTTCAGAGTTTGCTTGCCACAGTATGTAGCAATCAGTAAAGAGAGACCAAAAACTTACCACAGAAAGGAGATATGGTGCATCTGATTGTTGTTTTTCTTAGAAATGATGGCAAGTTGTACAACTCATTTGGACTTGCTAAGAGAGAAATATAGAAGATGGTTTGGTATTTGTTTGACCACAAAAGATATCTTCAGTTTCTCTTTTAACAACAATGCACTTGAGAAATGCACCTGTGGCAAAGCTTATGTATTTTCTATAGGAGTTTATTACGGAACGTCAGTGTGCACACTTTGTTTTTCTATCTCACCTTCGTGTGCATTACTGTTACGTAATACCTGTCAAGTATGCATGATTTCTGTACCACATGGGAGTAAGGTGTCATCGCATGTACTGCTATATAGTCCAGTAGCCGTATGCTTATTTCACTTCTTGCGTCACCAATATAGCTTTGCTGTATTCTGCTTTCGTCCAGTTCGTTTTTTGTAAGCTATGCCTGGAAGCGGACCGGACGATCTTCACGAAGAACCAGATATTCCTAACAATCCGCCAACAGATCCTCCCACATCGCAAGGGATTGATGAAGTGTTCTCTCTCTTCAAGACATATCTTGAAAATCGTTTGTAACAGAAGGGCAAAGAGCTCGAAGAAAAACAAAAAATCGATTTGCAGGCAGAGAAGTTCAAATTCAAAAGTAACCAAAAGCAGTTCGTATTCAACGCCGAGCTTGAAGAATTAGTAGGAAAAATCAAAGAAGCAAACGCCCGGAAGGATCACAAGAAGGTGGTTCACTTAACGGATCAAGCCAAAGCTCTGTTGCACAAGAGACAGAAGCTTATCAAACTCGCAGACTCGAGTGAAGCCGGCTGGGACGCAGTTCAAGAATACGAATCCCAAGATATCGCCTCGGATGATGAGGACAACAAGAAAATTCGCAATGCTAGAGCCGCAGCTAATAGGAAAAGGAAACAGTAAGAAAGAGAACGACAGCAGCAGAGCAATAAGAAGCGTTGTACAACTCCCAACCTGGGCACGCAGGATCATCATCTTTTTCGTGGTATTTGTATCGCTATTGTTTTTACTTTATATTCTTCCTGTTATTCACTCAGGTACTTTGTTATTTTCTCGTGTTATATATATTGGCTCTCCGTGAGTTACCAACCCATTTGACTGTGGTTGTCGTGTTGTGCAAGTTCCTATAACGGTTTAGAAAATATTTTTCATGTGTGCGAACGCAGTGAGTTAAAATGAAATAGAAGTCACCTTCGTAGGTGAAGATGATGTTGTCAGTGAGCAAATTCTGTCTCTCTCAGAATCTGCTTCCAAACGGAAAATACAGCTAAACAACAACAAGAGCTCCTTGGATGAAGGTATTGAAGATGATCTGGTACCTGCGTAAGGATATAGACTTGTCTCAATGGACAGTCTTCTTAAATTTGTGAAGAGAATTCTTTAGGTAAGAATTATGCGAGTTAAATTAAAAGACCTATGAACGATGATATAAAAGCTGTTTTGCTGGATCAATACTGGGCCAAAATTACAACAGTTATATCCCTTTATTAATAAAAGCGTTGACTGTCTTTATTGATCTACTGGGCCAAATACAAATATTGGAGAATTCCTGTAACCGGTTTGGACTTGGTAGCTCACTTTATGCCAAGTGCAGTGGTTGTGGCATGTCTGAGTTTCTTGCAACTGGCAGCCACCCTCAAGATGACGTTAATCCTTAAACTCTTCAAGGAAAAGATGTGAACAGAAGAATGGTGTTTGCTGCATACAAGAGTGGGCTTGGAAAAGAAGGAGTTGCCAAATTTAGTGAGGTCTTCAATATGCCTTTTAATAAGTCACCTGACACTTAGTACAGCCATGAAGAGACCCTCAGTCAAGCCTTCCAAGAGGAAACAAGCGAACAGCTACAAAAGAACTAGGCAGGCACAGTTGGAAGGAAGTAAGACAACGTGATAGTGGAAGAATTCAGCAAGCAGAGCACAGAGCTCCACAAAAAGACAAACAATATAGACTTGCCCAAAGATAAGCTAAGCAGAGAGAAGAAGACTTGTGTGTAACCCAGGAAGCCATAACCTACAAAGCTAGAGGTTTTGTCAAAACAGCTGTGCAGAGTGGGTAAAAAGAGAAAGAACAAAAGAACCTAAGCATACCTTCAAGTAGATGTGCTGTGATGCATAAAAGGCCATTTTAGGAAGTCGTTAGTCTTACAAGTGAGTTAGATAAAAAGGAAGTTTAAATTACATTTTTCTGAAAATAGCTCTTTTCGGGGTAATTTTGTTGGCCCCTCATATTTCTTAAAGAGTGTTTCCGCTATTGACAACAAGTTTGGTACAAAGATTGTTTATGTAATTATTTGCAACCTGATTGAGCAAAATCTGAAATATGACTGTTTTTATAAGTAATTTGTCTTCGCTTATTTGTCTTTGTCAAAATCTAATTATTACCATGACAACCAAAATGGTCAAAAGGCAGTAACTCTCAATAAGGTTGCAATCCATTGGATAATGCTTTGTTGTATCAAAAATCAGGTGATCATTTTAAAAGGAAATAAGAAAAAAGTGATGAGCCTCAACTTAACCCTCAAAATAGCCCTTCACAGTAATGCATTAATTATTAATCTAAAATAACCAATATATTAACTATAAACATGTCAGGTGGTAGGCAATTGCCTGGATGTACTTCTTACCAAGTTTGAGCTGATTTGATTGAATTGTGGATTAAATATGATTGTTTTACATAAGCTACCAAAATCTTACCATGAACTAACTGTAACGCCCGTCGTAACAAGGGAAGTCTGGACACTAGAGACAAATACTGGACTAATCAAGACTGTATTTTACACAAATGAATAATAAATTCGTTATCATTGTCATTGAAAAAAGCTAAAACTATATTATTTAAAAAAAAAATAAGAAAAAACTATATCATTTTCTTGAGACAACTATATATTTAGACTTTATTCACTGAAGGTTCTCAGTTCAATTTATGACCCATAAAAGCCAGTTTACTCACTGTGAAAGCAATGGTCTTGTGTATATGCCACACCCACAATTTTAGGCCTAAAACTTAAGCAAAAAGGTGCTGCTTATACACAAGTCTTTACAGTGTTGTAAGTTTCAAATATGTTGTGGTGACTTGTATTGGGCAAGATTTCTAGTTTGTGGCATTTTGCATGTTTTTGTGAATTTCACAGGATTTACCTGAAATTCATGGCTCCCTGACCACATAAAAACATCAAAAACTCTGTATCAGTAACCTTCTTAATGAGTAGTATCTAGCCAGAAACGAAATTTGTCTTATTACTCAAATAACCCCACTCTATCATAATAAACCATGAAAAATGACTTTTTCATGCATTTCATTGAGGAAACTATCCAAAGAATTTATCAAATGAACATGACTGATTAATATTTGGTACCCCCCCTTAAAAACAGTGGCAAAATCACTTGTTTATTTATTTACCTTCAATGCTGCTCCTTTTAGAGTGCTCTCATGATTAACTGATGATAGCTTTTCCTTGACTTAAATATTGAAAAACAGCTGGGTGAAAAAATGATGGTGAAGGTCCACTCTGCAGAATTGACACAACCTTCAGCTCAGCAGTTGAGCAGCAATCCTTTTGATTAAATATCACCAGAGGATCAGTTGGTCTACCCATAGAGAAAAAAGCTCCTTCAACATGATCCAGAATTTCTGTAAAGGAAACACAAAACACTCTGGGATATTGTTGTCACATTGTCTACGGAGCTCATCAAGTTGTGGTGTGAAAAGATTTAATGGTATAAGGTTAAGTCTATTTATATCATAAAAAGATAAAAATCAAACTGATTAAAAAGTGTTCTGCCAAGGAAACATTTAACCTCTTCACAACCCTATGGCTTGATTAATTGCCACATCTGATTTTGGAAAAATCCCATTGACACATTCATGAAATGCTGTTCATCCACAAATTAGCCTACATGTGTTTTGTCTAAGAATGATCCCTCGATACTGTAAAGAGACCATTGCATACACAAACAGTACTGTTGAGGTATAGAGAAAATTTTTCATTCCAAGATCTTTTTTACAAATTCTCCTTAAACTTCAGCCATCTGACATCCTACACGTGTTTTGTACAGGAATTATCCCTAAATACTGCATCCTGGCACATCCAGTACCAGTAAGGTTCTGTATAGAGAAAATCTTTCACTCCAAGGAGATCTTTTTTGCAAAATCTCCTTAACAGTCTCATAATCACTTAATTAAGGATACCAAAAGGCATACCTGTGAGGCAATCTCTCCTTGCTCCCCATTGCCTATTGTCAGTTTTCCAATGAACATAATTTTAATATAGTCATCTGCACCTCATAGCTGATTTTGTTGAGCCTGTTTAACATCTTTCCGTATGAGCCTCTCCTTGATGTTCATTCAGACTAGTTTTCATGTTGTTAAGCAACCCATGGAGGATATCCTTGATACTTTCCTTGGTTTCATACTGAGTACCCTGTAGGGCTGGATCTATTATGCAAACTTCTCTCCCTTCATCCACACAATTTGAATTTTGTTCCTTTCCTTCATTTGAGACATTGCTTCCCCAAACATCATAGCATGCATCTGCATGTTCTGCTTTTGTAATTACAGGAAAAGAGAGAAAGCTACATGTGAAACATTCCACATCATCATTGCTAGGGTTGGTCTCAACTGCATGTAATACTGGATCTTTACTTACAGGGTCTGTTGTGAACATTTCTTCCTCATCATTTTTCTCTGTTTTGTCATCACTTCAACCAGGCTGATCTTCTCTCTCATTGTCACTTTCATAAAAAATTGGCAACTCAGAGAACAAAAAGTCATCACATCACATCAGTATGCTTAATCTCCATCCACACTGTTCTCTACACATTTCTTAAGGTACAAGCAAGAAGAATTTGTTCAACAATCAAGAACTTCCTTAGTTAGGGATCATTTCCTTTATTCTTGTGACCTTAATGTGTGATTCAGGTGTGATATTTTAGGGAGAAATTACATGAGATGCTGGTCACTTTTAGGGGTTAAAGGAACAGGATGTACCAGAAATGACAAGGCAAGTAAAAATGTACCGTATGTTAGTTCACTGTATGTACATTTTCAATGCATGGGAAGAAATATTCAGTGCACTATAAATGTACCTTAACTCTAACTTGTTCACTCTTTGAATGTGTGCAACTGTTATAGTGGTATCCAGTCAAGTCGCCGACAGTTCAACTTGTCAATGCCAACTCACCAAAATCAAGTAGAGACATCAGTGAGCTGTTCTTTTAATACAGTACAACTTATTAGAAGTTAACCATATAGAAAAGTAAAAGATATTCAGTAAAAAAAAAGTTTTTTTCTTCCAACAAAGTTTATAAGGATCTCAAGGCAAATAAAGCAAGGTGAATATCGCCAATGACTATAAAAGCTTCAGATGTGAACGAGCAATTGTGTGACAACAACACTGTAAAGACTCATGTCAATCAGTCAGATTTTTTTGAAGAAAACTTAGCTTTCTAGACAAGATCTTAAGTAAAAATCAATTCTGTCAATTTCCAACAAAGTTTATAAGGATCTCAAGGCAAATAAAGCAAGGTGAATATCGCCAATGACTATAAAAGCTTCAGATGTGAACGAGCAATTGTGTGACAACAACACTGTAAAGACTCATGTCAATCAGTCAGATTTTTTTGAAGAAAACTTAGCTTTCTAGACAAGATCTTAAGTAAAAATCAATTCTGTCAATTTCCAACAAAGTTTATAAGGATCTCAAGGCAAATAAAGCAAGGTGAATATCGCCAATGACTATAAAAGCTTCAGATGTGAACGAGTAATCGTGTGACAACAACACTGTAAAGACTCATCATGTCAATCAGTCTGATTTTTTTGAGGAAACTTGGCTTTCTAGACAAGATCTTTAGTAAAAAGCAATTCTCTTTAGTTCCCACAAAGTTTAAAAAGATCTCAAGGTGAATAAAACAAGGTAAACATCACCAATGACCAACAAAGCTTTAGACACAACCGAGTTATTGTGTCACAACCAGCATCATTCCAGATTCACACTTTGTTAGCTCACTTTTGAAGGTGTTTATATTTGGTCCATCTTAGTACCAGGCTATGCCAGTGAATGGCAAACACCTTCTAAACACTTATGTAATAAAAGTTTTATTTGAAATTTATTTTCCTTACATAAGATATTTTCTTTACTTTACAATGTAAGATGTAACATTACAACAAGTTCAGTTGAGATTAAACAGACCTTCAAGAGCAGAATAACTGCATGATATACATAGCTTTCACATGTTCACTTGATCTTTATAATATATCAAATTTTACTGTAAATCAAACGTTCTCAATCATGAATAAATCATTCTTTAAAGTTAAAAAAACATGTGGTTCTGCATGGTTGCTATGGCTGTCACACAATAACTTGTTCGCATTTAAACCTTTTTTGGTCATTGGCGATGTTCACCTTGCTTTATTCACCTTAAGATCAATCCTTGTAAACTTTGCTGGAAACAAAAAGAATTGTATTTTACTAAAGAACTTGCCTAGAAAGCCAGGTTTATTAAAAAAATCTGATCAATTAACATGATGAGTCTTAACAGTGTTCATGTCACACAATAACTCGTTCATGTCTAAAACTTTGTTGGTCATTAGCTATGTTTACCCTGCTTTATTTGCCATGAGATCCTTCTAAACTTTGTTGGAAGAAAAAAAATAATTTTTTTTTGCTAAAGATCTTTTACTTTTTTCTATGGTTAACTTCTAATAAGTTGTGCTGGATTAAAGACCAACTCACCGACGTCTCTACTTGATTTTATACGTCGACAAGTTGGCATTGGCGAGTTGAACCATCAGCGACTTGACCACAATTCGTTATAGCAACTCACTACAAACAAGAATCATAAGGAGCTGCTTCTGCAGAGATCTTTTACACCAGAGGCAATCTTATCATGATTCACTAGTGCTACAACTCCTTTCAATCAGCTACTTTTTTCTTCACATAATAACATACATTTCACATAATTGTCA